ACGACTGTGTGAGAGGGTACTGTACCGGTACTAGTACGAGTACTAATACATGTGGGGATTACGGCGCTAGCGGAACAGTGGCCTGTGCTTTTGGTGGTTTATTTTTCCCCTTCCATATGGCCGAGTACTCGTATGGTACTCGAGTAAGGGATTGCACCGTGAGAAGTTCGCGTTCCGATAGTCTCTCCCCAGCCGCAATGATATCTTTTTTTGGAGTTTTCTTTGTTTCTCACATGTGTTGCCACCGTTGTTTGTAGGAAACAGGTTTAGCTTGATACTGCTTACCTAGGACGATATTTTTTTTGATTCTTCCCTCGTGCTTTTCGGCCCCATCAGAGGCATCCCTTCCCTCTCTCCTCTACGCGTGAATATCGGGGTTACCTGTATGATACGGTATCGGTGCTTGCTGTTCAGAGTTCAAACGAAGCCGGGTGGTCCTGATAACCTCAACGAGCAGAATTACCCTAACCCATAGTGACACAATTGTCTTGTTTCCTGGAACGGGCCCTCGTCAAACTGCAGAGTTAGGGTGCTGAGGTGCTCCCCGGATCCGTTCCCATAAACCAAACCAGGGAAAATACGGGCACACAGATGAACAACACAAAGGACGTTTTCAACATTGGAAGTTTGTTCAATTAACAAAATATCGGTACCCTTGCTCTGATGCCACTTCAAGCCCGATTAAAGGAGACCTATCTGTTCCACCGGCAGAAATCTGGATGGAGTTATCTACCTGAGGTGGCTAAGCTGAAAGCACAGTCATCACGTTCGTTTTTAGGAAAAGACAATACTGTATTCCTACCCCAGAGCTTGACCAGCATTGCAGGGGTTAGACCCCCCCCCCGTTCCCCATAATCTCACAAAGTTTTTCTTTTTCTAAACCGCACTCGCGCGGCCGACTGGAATCCGGGCTCTTTGCACGGTAATTTCCACCCCAAGTGCCCGACTTCGGCTCGACCGCGCGAGTGCGTTGTGTTGTAATACGAGAAAACCTATTCGAGAACAATACCAGCGAGACTCGGACCCTCCCTTCAAAATACCATCCAAGTTTTTCTATGCCAGCGAAAACGCAATGTTTCACCCCACAATTTCCTGTGGTGCTGAACAAGGCAATGGAAAATAATGATTCAATTTCTAAGCGTGAAAAAACAATTTGAAAATATTTCTTTCATGTTAGAGGACAACTACTCGTGCAGTATGCAGATGGCCTTTGTCTCTTAAGATTCGGGATATATTCTCTTTTTGGGAAAATGCCAGGCAGGGTAGACATCCTGCCAAGCTGTGCTGAGACTGTACTTATTACCTTGTTCGGCACCACCAGAAATTGTGAGACGAAACGTTGCGCTTTTGCTGGCATAAAAAAAACTTGGATGGTATTTTGTAGGGAGGGTCCGAGTTTCGCTGGTATTGTAGATATGGGTTTTCTCGTTGTGACACTGTACCGTACTCGTACCCTTTGGTATGGGACACCACCGCACTCATGTCTCCGCGCCATGAATTGACACCCTTTTTGGAATATCATAACCATAGAAAGGGCGAACGGGTGCCAATTATCGGCTCGGAGACGCTGATGTGGATTCGCTGGGTTTCAAATGCTAGCGAGAGATTTATGATGGAAGGGGGTTTGGCTGCTTGACCGACAGTGGGGGCAGGTTTGGGTTTGGAGACCCGCTCGCTATGGGGGGAGGAAAAAGCGGTGGCTTGGCTTTTTGGGAATACCGCACATTGTCTTGGGATTCCTTTTGGTTCCTCCTCCTCCATGTCTGATGTTTAACCCGATCGGTTCCTCGTAGGTTTTCATTTTTTTGTTGAACGTGACGGACGCTCTGGGGCCTGGGCGAATCTTTTTTCGGGTGCTAAGGCTTGGTGCTCTCTCGTAGTGGCGCCAAATGATCTGCGACCAATCCCGCAAGCAGCAGATCTCACAACGTCTGCATGTGACTTCGTACAACAATCCATTTTGGGAAAATAGAGCTTTGTTTTCTGCTCCTTTTTGTCGTGATAATATTTCCATGAGTGGGATGGAAGATACTAGCGCTTCTTTGGAGGCGTTTTTTATATTTCCTTTTCCTTTCCATTTTGCTGCCAACATCCCATCCCATCCCTTACCCCTCCTGAGGTTTCTTGGTTCCAGCGGTAAGGTCGCACGGAGAGAGACCCTTGACGTCGCTCCCATGCATTATCATGCCAGCCGCGGGCACAGCCAGTTGGGGGAATAGATATTATTATAAGGATCACTAGGACAAGAACAGGACGAGTCTGCAATGCCCTGGGTCAGTATTGACTTGGTCACTGCGTTCAGTCTCTCATTCGCTCACGTTGGTCACCGCCCGGTCAACTTTGATCTTAATCACCCAGCAGGAAGATGCACCACTCTATGGCTAAGGCTGACCGAACTAACCAGCGACAGCAACTTATTTTTTTCCCCCACTGTAATGTAGGGGCACCGTGGTGCTCATGATTGTTGTTGCTGATGCCGGGTGATGCCCTGCACTGGCCTTTTTTTCCCATTTCTCATGATGTCCTGTGTATGGTATATTCGTATATTCTTTTTTGGGTCACCTCTTTCGCCTCTCTCGCCTTTATTTTTTTTGTAAAATAGTGTCAGCTATTTTCTCCTACTTTGGGAGAGGGTGTTCAGGTAATCTCGCTGCGTCCCTTGCTTGAGTGTACCTGTCATCATGCATCAGAATATGGGTGCGAACAAAAAAAAAAAACAACTTGTGTGCGTGCAGGTGGTGGTGGTGGTGGTGGTGTAGCTGCTCCTGGTGACGCCCTTTCTCCCTTCTTCCTCGTCTTGGACGGAATGGAAAAATGTAAAAAAAACCTTGCACCATCTGAATTGGTAGACGGGTAGGAGGGCCCAAGAACGGAAGGGAAAGTAAAGATAGAAGGGCAGAAGGCACAGCTATCAAATGCTGCCTCTAAAAATTTGACTGGGAGGGTAAGTGGTAGGGAGAGGGAGGGAGAGAGAGCTCCGTCTTCTTTGCCCACCAACGCCGTTTTCACGATGCCGCCGGAAACTATCTGTTCAGATCTAACACCACCTTACTTTCTCCAACCTCTTGTGATCACACTGGACGAGAGGGAGTGTAGGATAAAATAGAAACGGTTATATTCACCACCGTAATCCTGCGAATAGATGATACCTCTGGCACATCGGTTTGGGACTCAAACCCCCGTGCAGTCTAGCCTGACCCTTCCAAGATGTCAACGGGTGGATGCTTGCATGCCTTAGGGAACAAGTTTGACTGCATGCATGTAATTTCGGAGACTCGGTTGCTCAAAGCTAGCTTGTCGTCGCTACATAGAGTACATCTCTCATTCATAATCTTATTTCGAGGGCCTTCCCACAACTTTGTGTTTTTATTTTTATTTCTTTTTTGTCATTATTACTTTTTCGCATGATACTTTCGTTGTCTATCTATCGATTCACCCCAAATCTCTGAGCTCGGGAGTCGGACAAATCGATCTTGCAGACATACCCTTCGACCCTATTGCCTACCTCATAATCCCACAATCATCAGACGACGATCCTGATCGTGATTCATCAAATTGTCACTGCACCAGGGGTTCTCTGGGAAGGTCTCAACGACACATTCTCCCCCTCCCCCCCTTCCCGGAACTTTACTTTGACTCGAAAGAGCAGGAAGGGAGAAGGACGGTGTGAAGGAGTACCGTAAGAGATAGAGACAGAAAAGGGGGGCTAAGAACGACATCGATTTAAGCTATTAGCTTCGGAGGGACCTCGGGACTATTATTTATACCCTTGAGCTAGCAAGAACGAAGTTTGTTTGTCCCCACGGGTCCAGCGGTATTTTAGTGCCCGTCTATTTCACCAACGAAGAAAGGCACAAATTTATCGCTGCAGGCGCCGCCGCCTTACTACCTACGCGGATATCGTCTAGGATTCGTCTAGAGTTTACTCTCTGAGAGGGTATAAAGGTTCTACATTCGAGGTCCGGTCGAAGTTGCCGAGTTTTGGTGACGGGTTGTTCGTCGAGCGGCCTTGCTTGTTAGGATCACCCCCCTCCCTCCCGCCCCCCCCAAGCTTTTTTTTTTTTCCTTTTCCACCGCCCCGCTAGTTCTATCCACCCCCCCATATTCCTGCTACCAAACATCCACGCCCCCTTCATTCTGGGCGATCAAAGCAACTATCGCATGAAGTTGTCAGATTGCGGAGTTCAGTTGCCATAATTGCTGTATTTAGTGAACCTCCTGGCTGCTTGCTTACCTGAACAACGCTATAGTTACCTCTTGTCCGTCGAGCACACTGGAGAGAAAGAATAGTTGGGGCGTGAGGAATCGGACCGTGGATAATCTAAGAAATCCATCCAGGCTTTTTTGAATTTAAACTTCACCCCGCCAGGCAACAGAACCTAACACGGAGCCCGCCAAAATAAAAGCTTGTCCAGTACGACGCCTATCTGTTTGTCTTGCCCTCTTGTCCTCTGTCCCGCCTGAGCAATCGAGAGCTGAAAAACTTCGGAGGGTCGACGACTACTTTGCCCGTTGGATCCTAATATCGGAGCACCGGATTATCTCGAAGCACGGAGTTTTTATCCATTGGCTGACGGCCCCCCGGCGTATAAGAAGGTCTTCCACCCCCTCCCACACTGGACTGCAGGAACCATTACGCACGATTGCGTGTATTATCTTCAAACACCTTCAGCCCTTTCCAGGAGCTAATACATCTGGAGCCAAACCCATTGGCTCAGCCTTTATTCACTTTATTTCCAATCTCACACACTCTCGGTCTCCTTCCCATCCCCTCGCATTTATTTTTTAATTTTTTCGTCTCATTTTTTAAATTTCCGCTTAATCGAGGTGAGCTGGTGCCACGTTTAGCGCAGTAGGGAGCGCAGAGGTCAGAGTGCTGATATTCGCTTCTAGATCTTGCCCAATTCCCTTCCTGCTGCATCGTCGTCATCATCACCACTCTGGCTTTTTCTTTTCCTTATCATCCTCCCCACAGCACAATATCACCCACAACAGCAGCCATGAACGAAGCTTCGAGTTCAAGCTCGGTAGAACCGACCTTTGAGGGATTCGTCGAGAGTACTAGGGATGCCCTCCTTCTTTTTCAGGGTGTCATCAACCAAACCTTACCGACGGTGCCTCGCCGTCCTCACGAACGGGAGAGAGAGTCATTGATAAGATCCGGAGCCGTCTTCGTGTACGAAGAGAATTCTTCAGCGATTAAGAGGTGGACAGACGGGATTGCTTGGAGTCCGAGTCGGATAATTGGAAACTTCCTCATTTATCGAGAACTGAAAAAACCATTCGCACCAGGGGAGAAGAAGCGCGCCACCAAGGTAGCTAAACGTGGACAGGCTTCTCAACAACAACGATATTCCCGTGCTACAAGTGATGGAGATGGATCAAGCCCCGGATCACACCATTCTTCCCATTGCGGATCACTTTCCCCTCAACCCCATTCTTCGCCAGAGGAAGGTGAGATGAGGGTTCCCGATCTGGGGCCAGAACTGGAGCGTATGCTCGTGGGGTCTCTAGTCGATTCATATGGGTTCAAGCCTGATGGATTGATAAAAAAGACGATTAGTGTTCAATTCGGTGCTGGTACTTACCACATGGTTTCCTATTATAGATTATCTGACTTCGTCGACAGCCACCTGAAGAGGCCTGTGCAGGACCATCGATGCTCTCACTTGACCATTCATCAAGACCTCGTCAACAAACAATCCTTCCGTCAGATTGTTGATTCTAGGGGCGTCGAACTCTCACAGCCAAGCGAAACCAGGTATCCGAATAGCCCTTCACTGCCCGGCACGCACCCCAGTCAAGCCGTTAGCCCTGCCTGTTCAGATTACGGCTATCAGCCCGGCGGATACAATCCCATAGAACAGCGGTACGACAATAGCGGATACGCGGGTGCTCAGGATATTCCATATGCATACCCGCCAAACGGCCCTCGGGAAGGCGGTGGCTTTGGAGGATTTGGAGGCCGAGTAACTCAAAGACACCAGGGCTTTGGAAACCAAACGCCAGTTGGATATAACGTTAGCCCTATGGGAGCAAATGTTGGGACATACTTCCCCCATGCCCCGAGCACACACCCGAGCCCCATCCACGCGATTCCCACGGACTACGCTAGTGCCACCATAGGTGATAGCAATTTATCTAGAACAGCGGCTCATTATGGCCATAACGCCATCAATGGACCCGGCATGCGCCGAACAGCCCCCGCTCACTATAGTCCTGCTGAGGTGGGCAACTTACCCCGCACCCTCTCCGATCACTACAGTCACACTGCTACTGCTGGGGGCAGTCTTCCTCGAACCCCGGCAGCTAACTTCAGTACCTCCATTACTGATGGAGGATCACTCCCTCGTGCGTTCCAGCCCCGTGGAAGCCAAGGGCTCGATGACCCACAATATTCTCCTTCCAATTCTCCTTGGGGCGATAGTGGGCCGAACAGTGAATATTACCATCACCAACATCCACAGCCTCCTCACGGCCCATTCGATCCAGATCAATCCAATGGGGGTGGTTATGGCCACTGATTCTATCGATACACGAAGAACATGTTATGAACTGGTGCAGGGCGTTTGGGTGATGCAATTTCGAAATTGATAGATGTTCGGTGCGGTGATATGGTTGGGATGGCGTTTATTTTCTGCATTTTAAAAGGATCTCCTATCTTACCTCGGTGTTTTTTTTCTTTCTTTTCTTTCCATTTTTTCTTGAGAGCAGTCGAAATAGTAGGTCCTCAAAGTCATTGTGCTCTCAAAGATTACTTTTCCTTTCGGGAGTCACATTCGATCGTTATACCAATCCTTTGGGGGGTATAAAATTGCTTCCTTTATTGGTTTCCGGTGGCTAGTTTGTGGGTTCTGAATTCCATAAAGACATTTGGTTTTCGAGACCACCAGACTTTCGAGAGCCATCTCAATTACCCCCTCATTGTTTTTCATTTTTCGCATTTTCTCGGTTCCAAAAGTGGATGCTCTTGTATTGATAGTTTTTTTTCCATCTTGCGCTCTTGATTAAGGTTGGTGGGTTTGACATCTGAAAATGTTAACTATCTACTCTCGCAATCAGAGTCGGATTAGGTAACGCTTTTTATTTTATTTTTATTTTAGAAGCATTTCTTCTCTCAAAGGGTTGGGTTTTTAGTTTCCGGCTGTATTCCCATGGGAGGACGAGGTTCTCCTTTCGTTTCTTTTTGTTGGAGGGACAAGTGGTATTAATACGTTCATGGCTGTTGTTTTTGTTGAGGCTTGTTAGTGAAAATTGGGACTATCTGGAACGATCTGGCGTCTGGCGGTATATGTTGTGTATGGCTTATCATTAGCAGAGGGACTTAAGCAATGATGGAGCGTGTTTTGTAAAAAAAAACCACACCTGAAGTCAGGCGATGGACCAAAATTGTCGGCCGGAGGTTGCTGTTCATGAATTGAACTTGTGATGTGATAGTAGTGGTAGCAGTGCAGTAGATGTGATGGTTACATTCACTGCAAGTAGCCATCAAGGTGGATTGGTTGGTGCATAAAATGTTTGCAAGGAGCTCGAAGCACATCGAAGGCGAAATTTATATCTCCAGCGTTTGTACAGCATCGATGATAACTCGGTTTAGCCGTTATGCGGGGAACGACAGGACCGGAAGCGCGAATAATGTTATGTACTGTATGCAATGTAATATGGATGTATATACACGGAAGGGGACGAGAACGAGGGACGAGAATTAGTAGGGAAGTATTAGGGATGTTCCTCCGCGGTCACTGTGAAGATTTGTTAACTTTGAGGGAGATGGAAAGTGCCTATGTGGGTAATCACAGTAGCTGTTCTTGAGCGAAGAGGGGAAATCTTGTGTGCAAGTGGAAGCGCAGAGGGGGGGGGGGAGAGAAAGGAAACTGGCCTCGATAAGCTCATAGCACAGTGCGACTTGTGGCTGGCGGAGTGGCGGGAGCATTGCATATGATTGAACTGGAGAAGAGAGCTTCTGAAAATTATATGGGAGCCCGGTCACTTGCCCTTGCGATCTTGGCAGCGCAAAAGTAAAATTAAGAACAATGATGCGAATAATCACAAATCTGTGGTCATTTCACCAGTTCGGTTGTTCATCGCGCATTCCCGCAGTGATTAGACTATGATATGATACATCTACGGAGAGCCCCTGCCGATTGTGTTAGCGGGAGGGTGCTAGGGGAGAGAGAAGTGAGGTACCGGTAGGGGAAGGGAAAGGAAAGGGGAGGGAATAAAAGGAAAAAGAAAAGAAAGAGAGAAAACGTGGGAGAAAGGGTGGAGAAAAAAGAGATTATCCGAAGCAGATCCTATCAGTCCTGTGGGTCAATCCTTTGTGGTAAGGAACTAGGGTGTTTATTGTCTTCAGGGTCGTTCGCCAAATAATTAACTGGGAAGGCGTAGTTTCATGCCTGTTGAACCTCACTAAGCAGTCAAAGCTTTGGACTGCGGTTGTCTTATCGTATGTTTGCCCGCCTTGCCTTGATCCTTATTTCAACTTCACCGGACCCATCCGCCTCTATTTGATCATTGGTAAGGAGGGACGACATTGGTACCAGGAATTGGGGAGAGATTGAATTAAGAAATGGCAACGATAATGATAACACAGCCACTTCGGTCCTTGGCTTCACGCTCGTCAGTCGCAATAATATCTGCTGGTGTTACCACCGTCATTGGTGCTGATACAGCCGCCGCTGACGCTTTCTCTATGCTTGGACGGCGGCAGTCGGTGCCATCGGGGATGCGGGCGCTGATATGCCGTCGAGGCGTGACGACAAAGGGTTTGAATGATAGGAGAAGGGGTATCCTATTGATTGCGGGTTCGCGGTATGCAATGGGGTGAGTGATACCTGCACCTTTCGTTTCTTCCACCCGTCACCCCCATCGCCGGCGATTCTCCTCATCGGGGCCAAGCGTGACCATGCCACCTCAAGCTGACACACACACTCCCGCTCTGAAATAGGAAGGAAGAAATTGGGGGATCCAGCGCTGCGTCGGGTTCGCTTCGGAGTGCGGTGAATAATCCTCTGCGGCGCCAGAGCTACAATCATCATCGCACTTTCTCTACTTCCTCGATGCTTCTCACATCACATGGAGAAAACACGTAATTGATTCCCCTTGCAACCACTATTTCCTCCCTTACCCCCATCCCTTTCAATTCATTCTGCCCACCTCCTTCAATCTCGGACTACATTGCGGACCGGGGATGGGAGGGGAGTGCCAACGCATCACTTCCATTCCTGCTCAGATAAAACCCACTGAGGCTTACAATAATCTTGGCCGATACCTGACAGATCCAAACGCCATACAGCCATCACAGCTGCCGGCACCAACACTACCACATCTAATCCCGTAAAGGAGCGCCGAAATATTCTCCCTATCACCCCGCACGAGGACATCTATAACATCCCTAACCTTTTAACCTTTTCACGTATACTCGCTTCACCGGTTATCGGTTACTTGGTGCTGCAAGAGCAGCATGTTACTGCACTGGCGTTATTTGTTGCGGCAGGGCTGACAGATCTTGTTGATGGTTACTTGGCAAGGAAATGGAACCTTAAGACGGTCGTTGGATCAGTTATTGACCCTATGGCGGACAAGACTCTAATGACCATTTTGACTGTCACTCTGGCTATGAAGGGATTGTTGCCAGGTTTGGGCCCGCCCTTGGTTCCGCTGTCTTTCCCCATTGCACAAATCTTCTGTACTCTGCGCGAGGACCGCTGGGCGTTAAATAGCCATTGCTGACGAGGCGGGTTTTTCTACCCATGCTTGCAGTCTGGCTCGCGGGCATCATTTTGAGCAGGGACATCGGGTTGGCGATCTCCGCAATCTACTTCCGCTGGATATCGCTTCCTCCGCCAAAGACTATGGCAAGGTACTGGGATTTTTCCTTGCCAAGTGCGGAAGTGCGCCCAACCACCATCAGTAAGGTTTGTCTCCCGCGTGCATAAAGGGGTTCCGTGGGTAATCCCTTCTTACCTTAATTGCACCACTCCTGGGTGTCACGCAATATTATTGGCGCTAATGGAGATACAGTTGAATACTGCGTTACAGCTAGGCCTAATTGGCGCGTGTATGGCGCACCCTTTCATGGTGACCATGGGCCCGGGCTGGGACATTGCTCTCCGAGCAATGCAGTTAGTGTTCCAACTCCTTAGCCATTGAGACGTTTACTGAAGACCTCATTTCTCCATAAAAAGGTACACGGTTGCAACTACCACTGTTTGGAGCGGCCTCTCATACGTATACTCGAAGGATGCCGTTAGGATCCTCAAGCGGCCGCGGGAGCCGGAAGATAGGGCGAACCCTGACGATAATAAAAAGAAAATGAGCTAGCATCCGGCCACCTGACGCGGCGCCGGCTTCCTTGAAGCAGCGAATGAAAGTATAGAGCTCTATAATGAAAGGTCTAAGCCTGTAGATCGTAGACCTCATAAACTACAGCGAGGGAGACGGTAAATGAGATATCGAGCATCCCCTCACAGACACACACACATATTATAATACACGTACTATAGCTGCAAGGCAGAATACCCGTCCTGTCACAATCCCTCCCGAGAAGCGACTACCCGTGCCGCAGTCAAGTCACAAGCCCGAGTGATAGCAAATGACGCATGTGATTCCCTCCGTAAGAGAAAGCAGAGTACAGGCCCAGGAGTATTGTGCTTCGAATTGCCTGCACGCCCGAATATCACAATGTTGTAGAACAGCCGGTAATTGCGGTTATTATTATATCTGCGTATCAATGTCGCCGGATTGGAGCCGCTCCCTTTTTGGTGACGCACTAGGATAAACGGGACTTTCAATAAGGCAGCATGAGCACTTGCATGCCCCGCACTAGGCAGTTGGGGATGTTTTATGTCATAGAAAATTTCATGGCTACCATAGTCATAGGGTATTTCTGCTATTCTGACATAGGATTCCGCCATCCCTAGTTAGTGGGGAGGAAACAGCTGTGTTTGTTTGCTAGAAGAAGTGTTTTTCTTTTTTCCCACTCACCATCGAGGTGAGCTCTCTTTTCTTCAGATGATCGCGGAGATCTTGTTTCTCCATTCGCATCTTTCTTTTGTACGGAAAACCGACACGATGCCCGCGGGTTCGATAGCAGGGGGTACCCACTGCCACTCATGATACAATGCCAGTCTGCGAAACTTGGAGTGTAACTCAGCCTCAAGAGTGTGAGCTTAAGGTCTATCGAGGAGGAGAAGCATAATCTATTATGTTATCCCAACTATAGTAAATAAAACAGACTTTCAATTCGATAAACAGAAAACAAATCTTTTCACGAAAAAATTATACCCGGCATGATAGATGGTAAAAAAGACATGGAATATTATCTTCCCTTTCCTATTTCCACCTGGTATCGTGTACTTTTTCTCGAGCAGCCCCCTAATTGTATGTACCCCACCAGCTATCCCTGACGGCGAAAAATCCCCCCAAAATACTTATGTCCGGTGCAGCGAGCGACCCGGGAGAAGGAGTGATGGTTGGCGGAAAAAGGAATTCAGAGTTTCACAGAAGTTCATATGGGGCGGTGGGGTATTCGGATTATCGAGACCGGGGCTGAAAAGTGTGGCTGTATCATATATCGATCGGGATTCAGGATTGGGGAGCCCCGCGAATCATGTCCGGATGGCCGCAAGTTGGACACCGGAATCAGGAACTTCAGGTAACTTACTGTAGCCGTAGACTATCCGCTTCCTCTGATCGCCTAGACCACAGCGCACAGTCCTCGGTCTCCATTTTGGGCCTCCGGAGAAAGGTGGACCACCTAACAAATCCAACATAGGCTCGCAGAGCAGGACCAAAGGACATGGAGACGGCCAGTGCGAGTAGTGGTAAGAATGGTTTGTGAATTGGTGAGAATAGCGGCCGATTTCAAGAGAGCTTTAGTACCATAATCAAAAGGATGTTGACTCGGAACTATTCGATTCTTATGTCCTTGAAACTTGGGCTATTTCTACAATCCCCGAGGCTCAGTTTCTCGTAAATCTTTAGCTAAAGATAATAATAAAGGGTTGCTGAGAATAGTCCTCGATTGGTTCTCATACAGGAAGGTGTATAATTGCTCTGAATCCTAGATTTGCATGGAAAGGTGGTAAGAGTGGTGTAATATCATTGTTCTCGGATGTTTTTTTGGGAAGGTATTGAGTAGACGCAAGAGAGGGAATATCCATAGAACACCAATTTTTTTGGTATCATACCGGCCAAATGAACACCAAGTATGAGTAAGATGAACCATATAGGACTTTCTGTTAAGGCTTACAGTGCGAGCGATCTTATGGTTGAAGAGTTGAATACTTCTTTTGTTGTATATGTTGTAATATGACTTCCAAATATGCATCGGTTTTGTCATTGACTACGACTGAATATTTTGATATGGGTTCATCAAGTGACTGAGCTCATTACATGGTTGACTAGAGCAGAGATTACTTGGAAACTCTATTGTGGTACTAGTTTAGTTTCCTTGCTCACGTTTCCTTTCTCTTTACTACTACATTATGTAGTATTATTGTCGTTTATTTTTTCTTTTCTCTTGTGTGAAGCACATGTCCTGGATGATTGTAGCGCGCTCTCCTGTAGTATAAATAGGGCCCTATAGCCTCCTGGTAGAGCATGAATCAAGCAAGAAGTACAACTTCAAATAAGAATTACAACAGTATAAATACAATCACTTTCGAGTATTCTCTCATGAATAAAACATCAGGGAGTACAGTTGTATTTATTGAAAATAATTAGCTTACATTTTAGGATACTTGTTCTGATGCTCCTGTCTTCGCTGAAACTGTAATTGCTTATAGCATCAAGCAATTCAGTGCATGGTATGATAGTTGCTACTCCTATAGTAGTGTTGAATTGATTGACTCCAGAATATTTAAGGTATGATGCCTATTAGTATGTTGAGGAATGTATGGTGCTGCTAACTTTGTTCGGTCTATTTTACGGATGTAATTAGTAAGATGTGAACCGAGTTTAGTAATTTCATTAAAGAGTAATTGATAGGGTTTCTTGGGATGCATGTCTCCAGTTTAGCAAATAGATCTGCTAGTACACCTTTCAGGCCAAATATTTCCCAAATGTTGCCCTTATTAATGACATGTACAGTAGCTGTGAAGGGTAAATAGTCAGCATGTCATCTGCTGATTCATGGTCTTTACCTCCATTGCTCATAACTGTAACTCCTTGTAAATCACCTTTCAAAATTGACTAGTGGTGATGAATTAGCAAATATTATTAAGCACCTTCTGTATCACTTTTTACAATTGTTCAGGTAAGTAAGGTGGCATGATTTTCAGCATAAATTTCCACAGTGAGAAGAAGTACCTAGATAAACTGAGTTTTGGTAGAAGTTTTACCTAGTGCAATAAATATTTAATGGTAAAGAAGGGGGGGAGTTGTTAGGAGTTCTAAGGACAAACAAATAAAAAAATCTCTTAAAAAGAATTTGTTTCCAGGTTGAGGTTAAGTTATGCCTAGAGATTAGGATTCTGATATTATGATAGTCTTGCTTATACCGACATATCCTAAGTGGAAATTTTATGGTAGTGGCATTGTAAAGCTTGCACTATAGCTGGTGATTTTGTGTCATCATCAATGCCTAAAATCTCAGGGAGTTTCTTAATCAACTTGAACCAATCTAACCTACTTGCAACAGTATGCTTGAACTAGGCTGAACCAACATGGGTATGCTCGCAGGAAATTGACATAATACAACATTTTCAATAGCTGGCTGGACAACAGCATAGACACAGAATGGGCGGGTTGATAGTTGATATTTGATGTTCATGTGTGGTGGATCTGATTCATCAATTGGGTATGGAAACTTGCCCATACCTGACCCATCAGTAACTGTAGACTTGAAATTCTTCGGGGAAGGGAATTCATCTCCGGATTGAATTGAATACTCATTTCGCTCACGAGCAAGTCTGTTGGGAAGCGGTGGTACAATTCTCCTAGAGAGAGGCTTCGAGTTCTTTAATCTATTATTTATATATCCGAAACTTCGTTGAACTATACATCTTAAGACCTTAAGATGCAACGTTGTATCATATTGTCAATGAAGGCAGTACCTCGAATATCATTCACCGTAGCTCTCTGCGCTTGACCTACTGACTTCACACCCACCGTGTATCTATTGTTTTTCCATCTCACAAGACAGGCTTCCGAGACGTTTTTAAATCATAGCATGTCACTCGGCTGCTACACAACAGACAAGCGCAAGTGTATATGCACCCAAATCAGGCAGTTAGTCAGCCCCGTGGTGAATTCCTAATCGAAAAACTCCATAGGAGCTTCTAGAGTGCCCAATTAAGGACCTGCCCATCCGCTGGTCACACTCCTCGTTTTCACATGTTTGTGGAGGTCTCGAGGTAGGGGCAGTCAAGGAACTCCCATCCCCGATGAGTGAATAGTCAGACAGAGAAATTAACGTGAAGGTCCAAACTTATAGCCGAAGTGTATCTACATCTTCGGCTTTCGCCCTACCCCCCTCCCCCCATTCACAGAACACATACCGCATTCCCCATTCGGAAACCCAAATATCTGGTATAATACTTACTAGCACCTGACTCACAAAGAACACACTCAATCACCGCCAAAAATGCGCCAGTCGCTTCCCAATCCAGTAGACCCCTGTGCCCGTGATTCTCCGGAAGGTTCCAGCAGAAGAGCGGCATGCTTATGGGTGGGGGGAAAGTTCATCCTTCTATCTCACAGACCCTTCACGGCAGGATCTTCTTTCTCGTTGTCGTTCTTTTCCCCGCCCCACGTCACGGGTAGTTCAAGGGTAACGAAGAAACTGAACTTCCCTGGACTCCTACCGCGCCCACCCATGAGTAGATTAGTTGCAGATATCTTAACCGCTGCGCCAACTGGGTTAGGTTAGTCGGCTTGATATCATTTTTCAACGGAATATTATTGGAAAGGAGTGCTCGTCCTACTAACGAGGAGGTGGAGACAGACTCTCTTCCTTGGGGGGGGGGGGCAAATATTTGACATTCTGTATTAAACGTGGAAAGGATTATGGAAGTATCATAGATGCTCCCTCAATAGGGATGATATTATAGACACTGATCACGGATAGATAACAGCTGAATCTCTCCCGCGAGAGGGAATATCAGGCGATACGATACCGAGATGAAACGGGGTAGGCCTGGTCTCACCACAAGTAGGATAGGATTCTGAGGGAGTCACGGGTCCTAATTGCCAGCGGAGTATGATGGAAACAAGTGTACGCGGAAAACCATAACCCGGTCGACGGGTTCTTCATGGCCACTACAAGTGCGATCCAGAACCCGATTCGCGACCTACCCCGCCTTTTTTGCTCCGTCTTAGGTCTTCCAGTCAGAAAGAGCACAAGAATGTTAGTGCAGGCCTATATATGAGCAAATGCTTTCCCTAGCTTACTGTAATATTGCACAATGAATGCATAATTGCGTCCAAGATTTTATACTACCGCGTTCCCCCAATTCCTCTTTTATTCCCTTATATACCCCTGCCCTCATTTAAGTGTTATTGTGAGCACTGTCGAGGGTGAAAGATGACGGGTGTGCTCCAACACTTGCCCCCCGGTACTGTAGTATTGTAGAAGTACTCGAGTACAGTATTCATGTCTTATGATAATCCCATTTAGGGCATTGCTTGAGACTTTAGAGGTGGGATTCAAGAGTAGTTTAGCCTCCTGTATCATACCCGGCACCGTCGCAGGGGGGGTTCATCATTGATAAGTGCATAAGTTGACTAAGGAACAAGACAAGTTTCACAATATTATGACTTGATAATGGGATTGTGGTTCAAGGGATTGTGTCGGACTTTCAAGTCGAGTGCCGTGAGCATCATGGCCAAGTTTGGGTTTGGTTAGATTGCGAGTGTTTGTGTATGATATGATCGCGATTTTGGTGGGTTTCCCGGGCTTGTCGGGTAAACGGGTTGTTAGGGGTTTAGAGTGGTACCGACACTCTAGTGCAGAGGCCGTACCGCATTTAGCCAAGTTTCCAGTCTCACCTTGGACTGCTGATCCTTGTCGATACAGAGTTCCTTATCCCAAGTCATTCGGCTTCAACAAGCCACTAGTAACACCAAACACCTATCCCTCTCCCCCAAGTATCACATAATCACTTGGCAAAGCTACGCTTCATAAACAACAGTCAGTCTCAAGTCGGGTGTTCTATTTCCTCTGATCCAAAATACACAAAGTCCTATCTCGATCCTGAAAACCAATCAAGAAAATCGTCTAGGTTCCAACTGGGGCTTATTACACACTACCTCCTCAATCTTCTCCATAATCTCCGGAGTCAATTTGTTAGCATGCTTCACAGCCTCCAGGTTCTCGAGAACCTGCTCCGGTCTGCTAGCTCCTGTGATGACACTAGAGATGTTGGGATTCTTGATGACCCAAGCGATCGCGAGTTGGGAAAGGGTGATTCCGAGTCCTTTGGCGACCGTCTGTGTTATCATTACACCATTAGTGGTCCGTGGTATGTAGGTTGGGGGCATTGGGTCAATGGAAGTACTTCAAGGTTCTTGGTGGTGATGATTTGCGTCCTCATCTCCTCGTCTGTGTCGAATTTCTCTCTCATAGACTTAGTGAAGAGATCAGAAGAATTTGAAAGACGGGAGTCCTCGGGAATCTTGAAATCGCTGTACTTTCCACTCAAGATGCCCATCCTAAGAGGAGAGAAAGTGGTCAGACCGAGACCGTGCTTAGCATACAAGTTGTAGAATTCCTTCTCCACTTTGTCGCGGACCAGGAGGTTGTATTGGGGTTGCTCCACCTGAAGTTTCGAAATTGTCAGATCTCGCCCCAAAACCAACAAATATAGGACCGAGAAGATACCAGAGGCCCGATCAACCCCAAACGATCAGCAACTCTCCAGGCATCCGCAATCTCTTCAGCAGACCACTCGCTAGTTCCCCAATAAAAGGCCTTCCCCTGACCAATGACATGGTTGAAAGCCCGAACAGTCTCCTCCATGGGTGTCAAACGGTCCGGCCTATGAGCATAGACCAAATCGACGTAGTCCAATCCCAGACGCCCAAGAGAGGCGTTCAACCCCTCAACAATGTGCTTTCTCGACAAGCCAACGGAGTTCTCCGCATGACCTTTCGATGCGAATGCGCCTCCCCAGTGGATCTTGGTGGAGATGACGAGCTCATTTCTAGCCCAGCCGTACTTGCGAATGCACTCGCCCATAGCAACCTCGGATTGGCCGCCTGCGTAACTCTCGGCGGTATCAAAGAAGTTGACACCGGCGTCGAAGGCTGCTTTCATACAGTCGAAGCCCTTCTCTAGTATGCGTCAGTTACAAAGACACTCGGACCAAAAACCAAGAGATCAAGCAGCTATCCGGGAACCAACGTTTCTCAACATGACCACCATAGGTAAGCCATCCCCCCAAACCAATGACAGAAACCTTAAGCCCAGAACGGCCCAAAAGACGGTATTCCATGGCGATCAGCGTGAATTGAGGTGGAGGTTTAGGATATTGCGATGGAAGATTAGAAGTTGTGAGAAGGGGAACGTGAGGATGTTTGTGCCTTTAGGGGTGGTTGTCCTCACTTTATATGATACGTAACCAACGCTTAATAATTTATTTCTCTGCCCTTCTTCGACTTAGGAATACCGGGGCGTCAAGTCCTTTTAACCCCGCAATGGCAGTGGAGAATCGATTGCTTACCTAAAGCCTCTCATCCCCAACAGATTTATAATACATAACCCCCATGTCGGTAGAGCATCGCATGACAACTTTGGCCATTCACCACCATCCATAGTATGATACCAAGTATGATACAGGACTTGATCAAGACCCAATCGGGAATTAATATCTATGATATAATTACGCTGCATCTGCTACCGGTACCAGTTTATGCAGTAGTAACTTGAGAATATATTAGCACACCGTTGCCGCCTTCTATCTCGACTCGCTAATTTAGCCTACCCTACTAATTTTGGCATAAAACTACAAATGCCCCAACCACCACTTCACAGCGATAGCATACGAGCACTTCTATGCTCTCTTTTTCTCCCTAGAAGTTGTTCTCCTCCGGACCCGGCCAGCATTGAATATGGAGATAGGGCGCCTATGTTTGTTGCGGTGCCCCACCCGCCGTTACGTCCCCCGCTCTAGGTTATCCATGTAAACTTCCTGGAAACCCGAGGAATGGGAGGGAAAGGATTCTGCCCTGTCTGACCGACTAAATTTTCACCGAGGGAAAATTCTCAAGAGAACCAGGGCATACAATTCATCCCGCACAACTGAAAGCGCTGTACTGTACCCCCGATGACAATATCAACTTGATGAGAAAGCAAGAGTTGCTGGACCAGGATTAAGCAACCGAGGTCAGTACCAAAGACATATCAGATATTAAGTTACGGTACCCACCAATTGCAAATTTGGGCATTTCCTTACCACAAAGATAGAAAATGTGAAGGAAGCCTGGATATATCGCCACCTTGGACTCTTTTGTGACCATCCCCCTATGACACTTCCAATTCTGCACAACAGAGGAACCCGAACTCAGCCTTTATGATCCCTGATCAAGGAGACTAGTGCATCTATGTATTTTAAACCCCACAACCCACAGCCAGATCTCAGCAAGCAAGCAGACAGGAAATCCCACTGAGAGCGGAAAATCTCAAGCCCATCCCCGCAAGTGGGGGTCAGGTCACCGTCACGCTCTTCAGGTATGATATCCGTCATAAACCCTGCCCGGCAAATCCCTAATACCTAGTGTAGTATCCCGGTTGTCTATTGATAACGCTATTTTGAACTACTTGTAGGGCTTCGATTAGGGGGTGTTTGGCAAACGCGATTTGGTTGCAAATCATAATTTCAAATCCAAAAATGCGACCCCCAGTCTCCTCCATAGTATTAATCAAGGGAAAGGTTTCGTAGCGCAATCGTTACGGGGGGGAAGTGACAGCAAGGAGCTAACGAAAATCGGTATTATTTGCACCACTAGGAGAATGAGGGAGGGCATCACAATTACGCTGCTTAACAAGATCCGGCCAGTGGCACGCCCGGAAGAAGCCCCATTTACCACTCCCCCGTTTGCTCGCGGATTTCGAAGGCTCTGATAGAGTCCTCGCAGGTATATGATACAAACATGAGAGCTAATCTCACCCAGACGCACGGGCACGATAGCGATCACCAGCAGGGAGCTACAAAAATTACCGTGATGTATTATCGGTAGGTCACTAGTAAGCTGTTGTGGGCGTTCGGTGGGGCGGGGATATCAGGGAGTTTGTTTACAAATTGATATTGTGATAGTCTAATCGAGGAAAGGGAGTACAACCACCAAGCAAAAGTCTCGGTGAAACAGCACATAACTTAACCCTACCGGGAACTGTAGCGCTGTGGGGGGAAGTGAGTGGTATTGTACGTACAGCTTGTGGTCTATGAAAGGGAGAGAAAATCCGATTCGCCAAATGACCAGAAAGCCATCATACCACCGGTAGCCCAGCAGAAGTGGAGACAATGGACAAAAACCAACACTTCAACGAAGATGATAAACACTGAAATTCTAGCTCCAGTGCAAGCGGTTATACGAGCGCGATCAAGTCTTACCTACTCGTAGGGGCCCCGATCTGTCCGAGCCTACTAATCGTCGTGCAAGCCGAGCCGGCCTGTGCCAAACTAATCATATTATAGAGTAATACCTCGGGGAATTCTGTAAGCAAATAGTATCCCTGTTTTCATCCGCTCCGGCTTCCCATTTGCCCGCACGACTGTGCTATTAGCTCACCAAGAACTTCAAACTTTAGGCATCCAGCTCAAATACCCTGCTGAGAACTCCATCTTCTCGGACTCCTTTTCCTACAGACAATCCAAGCGCTCGTTCGAGCCCATATCTCTATTATTCCGTGCCTTCGGCGTTCTATCTACCCAACCGCATAAAACGAAGCCCTCAGAGGAAGCCACGCTCTTGTTCTCCAACCCTTCCGCACTTAGGCCGACCTTCTATGATACTATACAGGTCCTCCGCTCACCCCCTTCGATCACTCCTCTCACCTCCGTACCCGCTACCGTAAACAATTCGATCATAACCCAACCAAAGACACATTATCCAAGCTTCAAACGCAATCCCCAGAGAAGCGAAAACAAACACACGAACAAACCCGCGCCAGAAGCGAGGAGAGCCGGTGTGAGATTCACGACACATGTATATAAAAATCGAAAAGTAATTAAAAAACATCACGACCATCCAACGCCAAACCTAACACTACCCCCCAAGCTCGCGATAGAATCCGGAACGCTGACTACGGCGATGACACGTTACCCCGCCAAAAGCAAAACTTGCCCGAACGCACCCGTTACATGAGGAAGATGCGGAATCGTCCGCAGGCTGGCCGAGCGGAATCTACCTATCATGGGGTATCGCTCGCAACTTGGACCGTTGGTGGGGATTTATATTTGCAGGTTATGATACATGGAGAGGTATTAAAAAAGAGAGGCCGCTACTGGAGTACGGTAGCCGCTTATCTATAGAGGTGGGTTGGGAAGCACACAGGGAGGAAGGGTGTGATACTTAATCGTAATTACTGTGCTCGTGCCCCCGAGTGACCATGCTTTAGGCAAGTCCAACGCTTCCCGGAAACAGCAACCACGGGATCCCAGCGGCGGGGACGACACGGTTCCCCTCGTAAAACCAACCCAGCACATCCCATCCCATCCCACCCTAACGTCACATCACAAAACTATCAACCCACCCATTCATCTGATCACAACCAATCACCCGCTCCAACCTCTGCTGCAACCCCCCCCCCCCGCCCAAACAACAAAAGCCCCACACAACATATCATACCGCCGACGTTTCTTACAGCCCCCCCAGTCCCCCCAGAAAATCCAATCTCATTCCGAATCCTCGCAAAAGGTGATACCCTACTATTAGCGAGAAGGGGCATGTTGCGAGGTATGGATGGATGTACGGCCCTACCCGCAAGGAGGGGGGTTCCGAGCGGCGGGGGTTTCTCGGGGTAATTCCTATCGATGGTGGAGAGAATAGAGTCCGGGAGGGCCATTTAATGCGGACCAAACGGGAACACGACCAAGTTGTACCTGTTGCTTATTGGAGGTCAAAACCCAGTTACTCTGAGACCTAGCCTCGAAGGAAGGGAGCAACCGCACCAGGAGGCGGTTGACCGGAGTATCATAGGAATATAGCGTGGGAGTGTACGGATGCTATCACTCGAATGAAGGGGGACCATTCGCCAGACCGCTGGCTGTCCACTATTGCCTTAGCTGTGGTGCTGGTTCCTGTTTTGGGTCGCGGAGAGAGAATAGACCCTACGGGTATGATATTTTTAAGTTCCAGGGGGGAGGGGGTTCATATAGTTATATAGTACAAGATGTGACCAATGGGAAAGAGTTGGTAGAATAAACATCGCAGAGGAAATGATACCTGCTCACGTGGGTAATCCTAAAGGGGAGCCAGTGTAGTCGTATCACCTTACCAAAGGCAGCCTCTCACCGTAGATGGCCGCTTTGAACTACCTATTTGATAGCGGCGCCTAGGTGAGGGGGCCATCCCCGGAGACACACAGGCTATCCGCGGGGGTCATCATTACCTATGCTACCACTTTCTCACCAACAGTTGAGGAGGATTTCTCAGGGCCATTAGATGAGCATTTGAAGAGAACTCACAAACACCGCCGAATAGACGCAGTTTAGTAGCAGTGCCCCACCAACAAAAAACCCACATTCTAGGTTGCAGAAATACCTCCCTTCTCCCATCCCCAGTCGTAACACTACATCCAACGGCCCGAACCGGACATCACCAGCACTCACCCCCGCAGCCAAACCCTCATTCCCACAGCACAACCCCGCCCTCCTCAACAAACCACGATCCAATAACACTCACTTCCCACCACACGGAAAGGCGCCCAAAAGCCGATTCAGCACACACACCCCTAACAAGCACTTCCCACCCGCGCAACAGCATCTCCACTTTTCATTGAGCAATTCTGGTAGGAACCTAACGGCTATCATCCCGTGCGCTATGTTTTCCGATAAATGGGACGAGGGGTTCTCCGGACGGGAACAAAATATGTATGATGGTCTGATGCCAAACACCAATTATTTGGTTGGCGTTGCGATCCACCTGTCCATGCATCACTCTTCTTTCCCTGGCGAATGGGATTTGAGTGGAGGTTTTTTGATAAAATAGTGGGAGGGCTACTAGTGGTCCTTGCTGCCTGTCGATAACGGGACCTGCGTCACGTAGAGCTATCGCTGCATGGGCTGGAACTTTCACTCGCTATAATTCCAGAGTGTGCTAGGTAACGAGTTAAACTGAAAGAGATAAAATCCGGAGGCATCACAAGATGAGCTACCTTAGTCATCCCACAGGCAGAGCAATCCAGCGTCGCCCAGCATGCAAAAGTGGATATAAAACGCCGCCCCCGATAATCGACTACGGTGCACCGCATACCCACAAGAAAACCCACGTACGATAGAACACATCGAGTGATGACGGATGACGAAAACTGGCTGCAACTTTACTCCTTCCCCCCCTCGCAAACCGGACCAAGTGGACAGCTCAACACCAAATTTTAACATGGCATTTCCCCACGTATTTGTATGCAAAACTAAACATCCCCAACCGGCCCGGGGGCGGGGTCGCTGCGAACGAATCTGCCGGCGCGGGAAAAAAGCATCCCC